GTAAAGTTAGACCCTAACATCAATCTTGGACTGTCTCAAGTACAATAAATGATGAGGTGGCGAGAGGCTGCGTGTCACGTTGTGTTGCAAACTACAGTCAAGCCTGCCATCATGTGGGGAATGGGGGACATTACCCCTTGCTGGAGTTAGCACAGTTTAGGATGCCTTAAGGACAGACTCTTACAACTTTAATCACACCTTGAGCAGATATTTAAACTTTAACAAAAAGAAGAGCATATGGTAAAACCATATATGCCATACCATATCTCTTGAAAATGTGTCCCAAAAAATGATGGTAAACTGTAAATATTCCTTATTGTCCGCACATCCAATGTGAATAATGTAGAAATGTTAAGAAAGTCTTCCTATTGGAGTTTGTGAACAACCATACTAGCATACATCTTTGAGACATAAACACTGCAGCTTCTCAATAAGCGCAAACAGTTTATATACGATTTAGTAGCATGCCACCTTATAAGGTTGTTTCTGCTCATAAACTAAAGAAAATTATGAATAAATTATCTGCTGAATACTGAAAAAATAAAAAGGAAATACTAGAAATTAAGAAATAACTGAAAAGGCGACAAGAGCCTATAAGGAAAGGCCACACAGTTTCATGGAGAATAAGGGGTGGGCAGAGTTCAATTTCATTCAGTCTGTGAAGCAAATGCCAATAGTGTCACAATTTTAGTTTTGTCTGTCTTGTCATGGTTTTATGTTGAAATGTTGTTCTCCCTGTGTATTGTCTTCCTTCCTGTGTTTGCCCTCCTGTGTCTGATTGTCTGATTGTGTTCACCTGTTGCCCTTGTGTTTCTGCCTCCCCTGCCCAGCTGTGTCTTGTCCTGTGATTACCCCTCTGTAGTATTGGGCCCTTTCTCACTTCTCTTATTTTTCATTTCCTCGCTCCTCGGTCTCGGTCTCACCGGAAGTTGATTGGTCTGCGCCATCTTGAGTAGCGTCCCAATGGCCTTATTTTTGCCGGAGAGGAGCGAGGAGCAAGGAGCGACAATGGAGGAGCTATAATCGAGGAACCACCAGACCATCCTCCGATGAAATCCTCAGACACTCGCCCCGCCCCCTTACTGTGTATCGCTCACTGATTGGACGATGCAGTGCATGCACTGATCTGATGCTTCTTGACATGAGAGCAGTTTCCCAGCGGAGAGAAGAAAATACATGAACCTCACGGGAGTCACTCCTCAGTTTAGGCTGTGTTTTGTTTCAATTAATGTATCGTTTAGTTACAAATAGCCTATGTGATATATCAGAACAACAAAGTGGTCAAAAATCTTTTAATTCATTTTTTGGAAACATTTTCATGATCGCTTTTTTCGTTTTACATTTTAATTTTTTGTCATTTCCATTCAGTCAATCATTAAGTGCTATTTAAAATGTTAATTTGCTACATATCCAAACAAACAAACAAACAAAGTGTGCAATCCAATGAATGTTAATCTAACTGGGTTTTGATAGATAACATATCTCTTTTTCTTCTCTGAATTATTTTTATTTATTTTGTGCACTCTAATGTCTAATCAATATATCAAACTATTGTTCGTTTATACATTTTAAGAATGGCGTTTATCTTTCTTGAGAATGAGTTCTTATTTTATTTTTATTTATTTGGGTCTACGACAGATGATACAAATGTTTGTGTCAGTAAATGTGTACTAACAGAGGCGGGGGTGTGTGTGGAAATAACGGGGACAGAGCTGGCTGCTGTCAGACGATCAGCTGTGCAGCGTCATCACAAACGGACGTCGCTTGACGTGACGCTCCGGAGGAAAGGACGTCCCATTGCTCTTAAAACTAATTTCGGGCTGAAGTAGAATAGTCCATTTAGCTTAGGAACCTTCCTAACGGAGTGAAATGACCCGGAAGTCCCTCAGTGGCAGCCATGATAAGTGCCGTAAATTACAGGGTTTCCCAAACTTTTCAGCCCGCGACCCCCAAAATAACAGTGCCAGAGACTGGCGACCCCCTGTCGACGGGGGGGTTTCCGCACAAACACTGCTCTAGTGGATTGTCAAAGTGGGAGCCTCAACCATACTTTTCATAAGAATTTTATTTTATAGTTTACCATAAATATAATTCGAACTCAGGAATTAATACTTACGTACTATGCTGGTTATGGATGTGAGAAGGTCACTCACCCCAGTTTTACTGGGTTAACTCTTAGTTACCACAAAACGTTAACTTTATTTTTTTACAGAATTAAAACCAATTTCCATAATTAAAATAATATTTAAAAGCAAGTTGTTTCTAGACTAATGATAATGATAACCGAATAAATATTGAAAATATTTTGATATAATATATCGATGTAATAAATATACATTCATTTCCCGTGTCGGTACGTACAACATTAGTGTGTAGATGTGTGTGCGTGGTCGGTGTGTGTGGTGTGGGTGTGTGTTATGGTGTGTGTGTGGTGTGGTTGTGTGTGTGTGTGTGTGTTGTGTGTGTGGTGTGTGTGTGTGTGTGTAGTGTGTGTGTGTATTAGTTATATAGTATATTATCCAATGGAATTGTCAATCGAAAATAATCTTCCTTAAATCTTAATGTCCCAGAGATGTGAGTATGTTTAACGTCATTATAGTCGACCGAAATGATTTGATCAATTACAATCGAATCATCATTCGATCCACATTACAATCGATCGAATCATTCGATCGATTCGTCTTATGATTGTAATGATAGATTGTAATAATCGTCATCGATTGATCACAGAATGAACAACATGGTGAATACTATGAGAAATAGTGGCTTTATACAGTACCTCAACTATTGACTTCTATTATGAATCTACATACGACGAACACAGTTTGACACTGGAGGACCACCACTCATGACGTTCCGATAGTCTACACATTCACCCTGTCTTTTACATACGAGACTAGTCAGTGTCAAACCATTCTATAGTATTCCAAAGGGTTTCGTTTGGGACTCTAAAGACATCCTTTACGACCCCAGTAAAAACGGGCGAATACTTATTTGACCCCATCACTAGTAGTTTTTGACGTTAAAGAATTTTACAATATATTTGTAATTGTTTTTAAGTTTACCGAGTTCCAGTGATTTGTACAAATACTCCTTAAATGGACCTTATACCCTTCACATTATATTGAAATTAAAGTCTCTAAAACTTCTTATTGTTGGGAGCCCCAGTAAAAACTGGGTAAATACGTAGATTTCCCAATTGGGATAGTGACACATAAGTGGTAAGTTTGTAGAAAATTTTCAACTTTGTTTTGGGAAGTGTGTCGAAAGGTCACTTTACCCCACACTAGAAATAAACTTTAAAGTCAGTTGATATCTAAGTATAAGAGAAAAACTAGATAATCTCATGACTACTGCAAGTTTTTGTTATCGTGAAACCGTTCAATAGAATTTATGCAAAATTTTACGAAATTATTCGTGGAGCATTGAAAGTACTATATTGAGAGGCAGTATTAGCAAACAAAGACTCTGCCGGCTGACCTAGCGCGTTTACGACGCCGACGTTCCGTAACACCCGTCGTAAAAGAGAGAGAGGAAGCCAATCCCTCAGGTCACACTAAAGGAATCAATTTACCTCCAATAATTTTCCTCAACATTTTGGAGAGAAAAGGATAGAATTAAGATCTCTCCCCAAGGGTTTACACCCACAGCGCTCATGGGGCTAACCCCAGCGCTCTACTAAATGTTTATAATATTTACCTTTATATTTTTTTTTTTTATATATATAAAAATTATAATAATATTAATTGCAAAACGTATCTGTAAAAGTCCTAGCTGATCCGGTAGCATATAAGGGCGTTGCTCAGAGGGGAGGACTGTTAGGTAGATACGCTGTCACAAACAACGCCCATTTTGACTATATAATTTAAGTGATCAAACGTATCTTAAAAGTCCCCGCTGCATCGGTAGACATATTA